ACCAGAGAACAAATACTTGGTTGCTTTTTTAACAATAGCCACACATTTCCCACAGGTATAGAATGAAAGATCCAAGCAGGAGTGAGTAGAGAAAGAAAATGAGATAGCTATAGAAGAGCAAGGTCCTCAAGGCATTAGAAAGTAAGTACAAGAAGTTTAAAGTGAAGACCCAAAGAGGGGAAAGTACAAAGCAGTGTATCCTCAGGCGTTAATTCATTAGGTGGTTCTCCTAAACAAGCATCTATTTCTCATTCCCTCTCTATTAGCAGTATTTATTTAATGACATGTTTTTAAAATGTGCATACTGCTTTTTGATAGATTTCACACACATTTCAGAACAGTACAGGAGCAATAATACCAAACCATTGCAAAGGCTGCTGTGTGTATGAAACTCTTTAAGGTACTAAGGGGCAAAATAAATTCTAAATGTTGATATAAGCATTGGTAAAATGTCCATTATAGTGCGTGCATGTGTACAAATGTGAATACTAGTAGGACTTCTATATTGGTAGGAACTTTGGGTCCTTTTGCCTATACAGAAATATTGCATTGACTTTGGAATCCCTGCCAGTAGCTGCTGGATGTTTTAATGTTGGAGACCTTCACTGCAACCTTGTCCCCATATCTGTGAATTGTTGTCCTTAAAGTTTTCTTCGTCGCTGCTAATGGTTCTGAGTGTTCAAAAATCTTCTGAAACTTGCTTTGTATTTAGCCAGAGCTGTACAAGCCTGCTTATCAAAGGAAAACTCCAGAAGGATCAGATCCCAAGGTGTTTGTTGTTTATCGTATCCAAGCATGGGGCTTTAATTATCTGAGCGATGTCAGTGCAGAACCTTTCTTCTCCAAGCAGTTACTTTAGATACTTGACGCTAACATGGAGAACTGCCTCCTGACTGAATGGTTCTGTCATACAGTTCTCTGTATATCATTTGAATACTTTTGTAAGGTTGACATGAAATCCCCACATTGAAATGTGCAGTTGAAATATACAAGCCTGTTTTGTTTAACCTTGTCTTAATCTTGGTGCAGAACTGCTAGTATTTAATAGGACACTGTCCCAGATACATTTCTAGTTTGAGGCTTGTTTCATATGACACATTAAAATGGTTTCTTTGTACTTCACCAGCCTCAAGTTCACATATAAAAATGTCCTTTCATGTCACCCACACCCATTTTTAAGTAGAACATGCACACCATTCAAATCTGATGGGAAGCCTGCAAATTTTGTATTTAAGTAGGATTCCCTGAGTGCCAGAGCAAACAGTGAGATCAGTCTTCAATGAAAGCATCACTATGTCAAACATTTGGAGGAAGTGACCATAGAGGTGGAGATGTAAGGCCCATCATAGGCATTTGCCACAAAATCCAGGTCCTGGGCAGTGAGTAGCTACCTATTTCTAAGGTTTCAGTGCTCCTTGCCCTGCTCTGTGATTAGCGAGCCAGAATAAATTATGCAGAATAGGAGAAATTGCAGAATAAAATATGCAAAATAAGAGTGATTATGCAAATTTGCCTAATTTGCATAATCAAATCAGGATACAGAATCTAGCCTGCAGAACTTTAATCTTGAGTGTGTGATTGCCAGCAGCTGCGCAAAGCATCCAGTGCTGCTTCCAGGTTACCAGAAAGCACTCTGGGAGAATCGGTCATGGTAAGGGGAAAGGCTATTACAAGGAGCATGTTGAATTGATTGAATGGGGACAAAACTGCACGTGATAGAGAGCCTACTTTCTTCCTGTGCAAAGTATTATGATAAGCAGGTTATGTACTGAAAAGGCTAAGTGTCTTGGCTTTCATTAGTTTATAGCTTTTCCAGTTAACCTTCTTTATTGGAGAAAAGTAGGTTCATGGACCTAGAGCGCATGAATTATTGGAAAGAGATTGGCATCAGTGAGAAAAAAGGATGGAAAGGCCTTGTTATAGGTTTAATATGCAATCGATAAATGGTTCCCAACATTGTCAGTTGGAACTTTCCTATTAATTCCAATCTGAGTAGCATTTCACTCTTAAGCAGATGTGACAGGTAAATTCCCTCTGAATTTCTAATCAATTATTTTCAAGGTGCCACTAATATTTCTGTTAGTTTGGACCTCCTGCCAAATAAATAAAAGAGGTCTAGGCTCCTTATACCACGGATGGTTGTTGAAAGAGGATATTTCAGCAGGTATAGTTTATGAGGGAGCTTACTTTATAGATGCAATCCCTGGGTTACAAACATCTGAGTGCCAAACAACCTGCACTTAATGAACTGCCATAAAGCCTATTAATTTAAAAATTTAATTTAAAGACATACTGTGGAAATTGTCATCACCATAGGGAAAAAAGAGTGTAAGGGGACAGAGAAAGAGCCTCCAAAGCATGCCTTCTTGCCTTGCCCATCTGGAGTGGGAAATCCATCCAGCATTTCCTTAGTGCAAAGAGAAGGCACTGGCAAGTGACAGGGAGGGCAGGGAATAAGAACATAAGAATGTGAAAAATGAAGAAGGGGAGCCCTGCAAGGTCTGGGAGAGGGAGAGGAAGAGGGAGGAGAAATCCAGGGCGCATTTGGTCAACAGTATGAAGAGTTATGGGGAGGGCTTTTTGGAGGGGTAGAGATATTCATGGTATTTCCACTTTCGTGGGGGTCCTGCACTCCTAATCCCTGCAAATGTGGAGGTGTAACTGTACTGTATTGTGTTAATGATGTTTCAGTGTATATGGAAGTGTTAAGTGTTTTATATGCACATGTTTCTCTCTCTCTGACAGACATCTTGCTTACTCATGCTAAATATGACTCAAATGTACATGTTCTGACTTACATACAAATTTGACTTAAACACATTCTTAGGAATGAAACTCGTTCATAACCCAGGGACTCCCTGTGAAAAAATAGACAGATTTACCATCACATTTTAAAACCCTTCTTAAAAAGGTCTTTCCTACTGCAGTATCACATACATTAATTTCCCAGTCCCTTTTAAAAATCCTACTCGGTTGATGATTGTTGACCATGAATCTATGAAGCCTTGTATACCAGCGATCCCCAACCCTTTGGGCACAAGGGACTGGTCTCATGGAAGACAATTTTTCCATGGACTAGGGGGCAGGGGAATGGTTTCGAGATGATTCAAGCACATTTATTGTGCACTTTATTTATATTATTATTCCATTGTAATATATAATGAAATATACAACTCACCATAATGCACAATCAGTGGGGGACTTCCCCCGACATGCAGCCCAGCCCTTACCTACTTTCCAGTTCCCTCGCTGCTCACACATGCCTTTCCTGACTTCTCCACTCCACTTGCTGCCCAGCACTGCTGCCTCCTCCAAGACCAAGAAGGACCCAAATGATAATCTGTATTTCTGGCAGTGATGCTAGCGTCGGGGAGTGGCTGCAAATACAGATGAAGCTTCTCTTGCTTACCCGTTGCTCGCCTAACAGGTTCCTAACAGGTCATGGACCAGTACTGGTTCATGGCCTGGGGATTGGGCATCCCTGTTCTACATGATAACTTCTGCTATATGATATATTCTGATGTATTAGATCAAAGTGTTATTTTTAACAACAACAAAAGATCAACCTGTCTCCAAGTTTTCACTGTTTTGTTTTTTCCAAGGAAGTTAGCAGTTTTAAGTTTGCATAGATTTAACCAGTGGGTCAACTGCACTATAGTGTACTGCCCTACATGTGATAAAATCATGGTAGCTGGTTTTTATGCAGTAAAAATTGTTTAGAAAGGAGACTATTTTCACAGGAAACTAGAATGTTGTGTATGTCGGTTTAGGTGTTTCCCGCCTACTCTTTTTCTGTTGCAGTACACTCGAAATGGTTTTCCTGCTCATGGAGTGCCGGGGAACTTTTTCAAGAACTAGAAGAGATGGCTGCTCTAGGGTTACAATCCTATATAGAATTAGGAACACTTCAGATCATCGAAGTCATTGGGCTTAAGTATATTTGTTTGATGAATGCTCAGGTTTTATCTGCTAAGATATGCAGATGCTACTCCATCATAAAGGCAATTATCTCCTTTGGGTTATCTGTGGTAACAGCCTTTTGTAAGGTTTGATCTACATCTGTGGTCTACACAGGATAGTCTTGATATCATATATTGTTTACAAAAGCCTTATTGGCATGTATGTATCTAGATCAGGCTTTTCCAAACTGGTACCCTCCAGATGTTCTGGTCTGCAGCCTCCCTGAGCCTCAGCCAACATGGCCCATGGCCAGGTATGATGTAGACTTTTCCAGTCTGTTAGGTCATAATTCTTTCAAATACATTTACCAACTTCTCTCTGTCAAATGAGTAGTCTGTGAATATGAAATATGCAAATATTTAAATGCTCTGAAAATGTAAAAATTCAGAATACAAAATTACTTCTCGGAGGATTGGTGGAATTGGACTGGGAAGGAACCATATTATTCAGATGACATATAGCTCCTTGCCCTAACTAGTGGAAAACATTTCTCATGACACTAATAAAATATAAATTGGGCAAGTTTCATTGGAAGTAAATTATCATTAGGAGTGGAGAGGTGATAGATTTGGAGGTAGACCCATAAAGAACAACAGACTGTCCAATATTTAGTTTATTTTAATACTTTTTAACATTTGGATAGGAGTGCTATTTGATTTTTCTGCCTAAAGCACTGGAGTATCTTGAATCATCTCTGAGCAAGTATTTATAAGATTGCAGAATAACATGGCAGTTAAAATATGGCCTTATTATTCCTTTGGCTTGTCATGGGAGAGACAAACCAGGGTTTCTGGTTTGCATATAATGTTAACTGAACCATAGTTAGAAGTCTGTGTGGGTGGTTCAGTAGCAACTGGGCACCAGCATGCTACTTAATTGACATTGCTGTGAGTTGTAAACTAGGCCACCAGCTAGACAACAACTGACTGCAATTAGCATAATAAAAATCGTGACACTTCTTTAGTAATCTTAAGTGCCTAATTTTGTAGGGATTTGTATATTTTTTTAATAAAATCAGTATCCTGTGTGTTCTCTTTCAGACTCAGCCTCTGCTTTGAATTCTATAAAGTACTGTAAGTAAGCTTCTTTGTTGTACTTGATTTATTACACTTAACATTCACTTACACTGATAAGTTGCTATGTTATATCTTTGGTTCCATGTAATGTGCCATTTCTTCCAATGAATAGGTCCCGGTAAATTAACCGGGCTCAGTGGTCTATCCTGTTTAAGGGAACTTTGTAAGACTTAAGATTTTTTTACAAGTGACTACCAGCCGTGGGCACCCTCCATATTCCGAACATATGGTGCTGCCTTGTATCTCAACAGACCATAATTAATCCAGATTGCTCATATCTATCCTGACTGGCAACGGCTTTCCAAGGTTTCAGACAGAGGTCTCTCTGAGTCACTCACAGGTGATGCGTGTTTTAACCAGAGATGACAGGTACTGCATCAAGTGTGAAAGTATGAGCTCTACCACTGAGCTATGGCCTCCCCTTATGATAAAGGATGAAGGGACTATTGATTAAGGCAAATGCAAGACAGAAAATACATGACATGGCTAATTTCTATAATTATTCAGGTCATGCCTATGGCAGCCCAGGGAATTCAATACATCCAGACCTTGCCTCAATAATTCCCGGTGAGAAATGGATGATTTCTAGGCTTTTCCTGTGGCATTCTGATGTGTCCACAGTTCCATTTGTCCTGCATATATATGTGATATATCAAGGTGGCTTCACTTGTTGCATGATTAGAGTAAATAGGGTATCAGAACATGAAAATGTAACCAAAGGGTGTTTCAGAAGGAATTGAAAAAGTACACCTTTAAACTGGAACACGCGGCATGTGAATGTCATTTGTAAGGATAAAAGATGGAAAATAACCTGGTGTTCTAATCTGTGAGTTTTTTCATTTGCTTTACAGATGTAGGAAATAACCAAAAGCTCTCATGTGCAAATGTCCTAAGACATAGTTCTTTCTTCTAAATATAAAGGCATTTAAGGACCCAGATCTCAAGGGCTCTTGTACCATCACTTTAGAATGGGGTGTGCTAAAAGCTGTGCCAATCCTGCAGAATCTTGGTTTGTGTGATGACACTATGCCACTGGTGCAGAGAGAGAAAATAGTGCAAGCATTTATGATTACATATACAGGTAGAGTGCCTTCAAAAGTGCCCTTTCTGTTTCTCTGAAAGAACTTGTGAGAAAGAAATACCAGTTCTACAAACATGAATGAAAATAAGAAAAATGACCAAGTAACATAACCATCAAATTGTTTTCCTGACATTCAAGTAGTGGCTTTTCCCACTAGAAATCTGAGGAAGTGGCTGTTCCACACCCTCTCATTCACAAAATATATCTTGGCAGGCAGCCAACTTCCTTAGCGCTTTTTATCTGTGATTCAAGTGCCAATTTCTTTTCTCTCTTTTCACTCCTCTCTCGTCACTCTCCTCTGTGCATTTGCTGCCTGTCAGATCTATAACCAGTTCAGCCACAAGTAGGGGTCATAAGTACTGTTCTTCATTCTATCATCCCCCACCCCGCTGGCTCCAGTATAATTCCTCCATGATTGCTGTAATCCACCTTTTTATTTAATTGGTAATTTGTGATCACTTGCTTGCCCTAACTTCTATGGATACTTAATATGATATGTATCTTCTCCCAGTTACTAGGGATGCTGGGAAAGGATTGGGGCCCCGCTCACATATATTTTGATGGAAAATGTTACAATGTATATAATATGCCTGGATGTTGTAACATGGAATCTTTCCTTTAATGTAAAAGATACTATGCTACATTGGTATCATGCAAATCTCAGTGAAGTATCTCTTTTGAAATGTTTTCTTGTTCTTCTGATACCTTAATCTGTGAAAAAATGTTTCTGGTATTCCAGAATTTTTTTTAGAAAACAACTAAAAAGTCAGCTTTAAGTCCGACCTAACAGGAATCAGCATTAAGATTTGCTTGAACAAATCAATAGTATTCAATGCAGGGCAGTGTTTTCCATCTTGAAACCCCACCTGACATTGAGGTCTGCCCCGATATATATTGCTGAATGAGGATTTTTCACATAGAGCCTCTCAGTATCCATACAGCAGCCATATTTAGACTGGCACTAAAGAAAAAAACAATACTTGACATTTATAGGCACAGGCTTGTAGTTGATCTCCAGACACAATTCAGAGGGCTGCTCTGAACCTTTAAAGCTACAAATGGTTTGAGCCAAGGTTATCTGATGGATTGCCTCTTCTTTAGTTACCTGCATGGAGGTCATCATCAGCGATCCATTTCTGACTGCCACTGCCAAATGAGATCTGGCAAGTGGCTACTTGGGAGAGGCTGTTCTCAGTTGCAGTACCCAGATCGTTGCCTTAGAGTAAAAATGGGGCTGAGAGTCTTCCCCAAAGAGGTTTTTCTGGTGCCTACTTTGACCTTGTTTTACAGTGAAAAAGGCTTGCCTGATACTCTGTGTGTGTGTGTGTGTGTGTGTGTGTGTGTGTGTGTGTGTGTGTCTTCTGGGCTGTTAAGGGCTTGTTGGGCACTTCATGGCATTTGAGATTGTTTTGTTTTTAAAGTTTAAAAGATTTTTATTTGCTGTGTTTTTAAAATGTGGTAGGCTTATAATGATAGTTTGTTTTATTGTATTTATGTAACTTATGTGTATGCCATTTTTACATAGGGAACTTTGGTTACACAGTGACATAGGAATACTACGTTGGATCTAGGATCTGCCTTCTATGGTCAGAAGTGTTGCATAAGCAGAAATGCCTCCCTTCCCCTCCTACACTACATCTCACCCTATTTGGCAGGGTCTCTTGGACTTCTGCATAGCATTTTCAGAGGCTGCTACAAGGGAGAATGGTTAGGGAAGTCTGCTTCCTTCATCCAAGTTACACATGCCTATAGCCAACACCATTCATTCATTCATTATTTATATTGTGAATTTCTGCAAAACAAGATAAAACAAGCAAACAAACAGGAAAAAGGTCTGGAAAAACCCTGCCAAGATAAAAAGCTTAAAAGAAGTGTTAGAAGTATTATACCTCCAATGATCCGTCAATTGAAAGTAATGATTAATGTGATACTGTGGCATACAATAAACATGAAACACAAGTTTTTGTTGAATAAGATGGAATCTGAGGTGCACTGAAATTTCAGATACTGACTTTCAGCTATTCAGTGTTTGGACAGAATGAGACCTTCTATTCTTCCATTAGACCCGATGTATTAGATATATATTCACATATGATAATAGGTTTGGTGGTGTAGCAGTTAGTGTGTTAGACTGAGATTTGAGAGATCTGGGTTCTAGTCCCCACTTAACTGTGAAACTCACTGGATGACTTGGCCTGGTCACTGACTCGCAGCCTAACCTATGTCACAGGGTTTTTGTGAGAATAAAATGGAGAAGAGAATAATAATGGAAGGGGTCCCTTGCAAGTGGAAAAAGGTGAGTTATAAAAGTAATATAACAATAACAACAGCAAATAATCACAATTTGTAGACATAAGTAATGGGTCAGTGTAACTGAATGAACTCAGTAATTCTTCCCAGTAATTTAGGACGTTGTGAATGCTGCACAGCCAAACCAGATTCTAGCAAATCTTGCAATTGTAAATATTGTCATTCAGTTACTGCAGGCAAATTGTATGTGGCACATAAACAATGAAATGACAACAACTCAGCATCCTCCTCCACCAAAATCAACTTGCCCCTTAAAGTCTGCCCAAAAACATTTTTCCAGTTTTAATGTTTAGAGTTTGCCAGAATCCTATCTGATAGGAATCCTATCTGTTTTAATAGGAGCATAATGCTATCCACTTGAACAGAGGGCCCAGACAAGATAATGGAAAATGTAATAGACAAAGATCAAGAGTTAGTACAGGCAAATGAATAGGCTCTGTTTTCTATTGCGATCCAGAGAACCAGATCCACCTTATTTAATAGAAAATTGCATCCTTTGTAAAGATATTCAAGGTGGAGAGTGAACCCTCTAAAAAAAATTGGCACAAAGACAAGTTTTAGAAAATATTTGTCAGGTATATATAAAGGAATTGCACACAACACATAAACAAATCTAGGTATGATGCTCATCTTCAATGTATTAGAAGTACTCCACAGACTTAAAAGATTCCAATTGTATGTTTCCTGTGATATCTCATTATTCAGCACATTAAAATTTAGCTTAATCATCCAACCCAAATTAAATAAAAAAATAAAATTAAAAACACTGTTTGAATGTGGAGTGTATCAGCAATCCTTACATCAACACCATAAGGTAGAGTAGTATTATTATCCCAGGAATGGATTGCTGTGGAAAGTTGCAACTTCCAATAGACTCCATGATTTCTAGCTAGAGGGAAGTTTTGCAAAAGGACTTTGTGGTTCAAAATCTTAGCTTTTCTGCTACTAGCTCTCAGATGACTTACTAGGCAGAAACTCACAATTGTATCCTGCTTCTCCCTATAAACCATTAATGGTTTAGAATGCGACACATGCTCTGGAAACATAAGAAATCACTGTCCAAAGGTAAATGGTAAGTGGGCTTCAAAATATCTGCTATTCTTAAAGGGAGGAATGGATGACCTCCGAAGGTCTGGGGGCCAATTTCCAATCCCCAGAACTCCCTGATGACTGCGTTTTCTCTTCTGCTAAGATGACTGAAATTGAATGACAATTTCATGGTGGCAAGAAACCTGTTTTTTCACTCAGAACAATGTGTGTGAAAAACACATGGTTGTTTTAATGAAAAGTTAATGATTCCAGAAGAAGCAAGTGAGCACAATTTTGCAGTAAGACAAGATAGACAGGCTTTCCCTTACCCTATACTGTATTTTAAAGTGAAAGTGCAGGTTTCTTTGCTGCCCCCACTGTGCCACCAGAATTAGCTGGTGGTTCGGTGGTGGTGGTTTGGGGCACCAAAGGTCACAAAAATGGGTAGGGGGGCACATGTAGTCTTCAGGCTAATGTTGCCCATCCCTTTAACTTCAAGTATCAGCTCCCTAGTTAGTTCACTTTTATTTCATCTCCTCTCTTGAAAAAAACAGAGCATGTAGTTAAGGATTACAGC